AAGATCCCAATAATGAATATAACTGTACTGTATACCCAAAATGTACCAATAAACTCAGTGAGGGGAAAAAAAAGAAAGACTCAAAAGTGAGCTTATGCAGATGTCTGGACTGCCTTCTTCAAGGTAGCTCTCTGCAGTAACTTCCACTGCAAATTCTAGTGACCTTCCACTCACCCTCCTGGACATCCAACTCTGGATCCACTTAACTCAAGGAAACCACCAGGCTCCGCCTAAGTTACCCCAGCCCACACCAAGACCTTGCAATGTTCACCAGGGGATAAACTGAAGCAAGAGCTTTCGAGGGCACATCTTTTTGTCCCTCTCAAAAATCACCATCCTGCATTGTCTGATGCCCAATAACTGAAAAGTTCTTTTCTTCATACATTTTGTCCAGTTCTTTAGTTGTTTCAGGCAGGAAGCCACAGGGGCATATAAATAGAGGGAACTCCTCTCTGCGATGAGTTTATGGAACTGGATACCAGCTCTGCACTTCTTTTACTTAAAAGCAGACACACAAAATTTAAAAATATATAACCTATGATGGTTCATTTTGCAGACCAATGCAACTGCAAATTGTTATAAAAAGGATTGCACAATATATTTTTTTAAAGCAGCTGTCTGATACAATCCATTGCTTAGTTAAAACCCAAACTGATCACATTAAGTGACATGTATTTTTCATCTAAACAAAAGTAGGCCTAGTTAACATTCTGTTTTCTCTTTTGGGGGCTTTGAGACATATAGTAATTGAGTAAATACAACTGAGAATTTTATTATTACTATCTCCATGAATACTATAGATAGTTTAAAAGAAAGGAAATCTGTGTTTTCCAGCATTTGACCTAATGTGCAACAGCAGAATATTGAAATGTTATCTGTCTTGGCAAATGTTAGAGTAAATGCAAGGATTGTTCAGAATTTGACGGATTTTTAGGGTGGTTATTTCTGTTCTTCCTGTTTTACATTTGTAGTCAACCAAAAAAGCTAAAGATAATAAAGGTAAAGATAACAAAAGTCAAGATAAGTCATAGCCATCTCATCTTACTACTTGTTACCAACTTTAACTAAGACAGAAAGCACAAAACTCAAATTAAACGGATTTATAGGTTGTAAAGATATTTGATTTTTCTAATAAAGAAATCCATTCATTTTTCTCTTAGATTCAGTGAATTGATCAGAGGCAAGTAAAGGTTTATTGTATGAAATTTTGGGTTTGATTTATAGGCATTTTTAAGAGTAAAACACTACAGTAATTACTCTTTGCTTCTTTATTGGTTTGATGTGAAACTAACATTGGTTCACTATAAAATTTTAAAAAGGAAAAATAAAACAGGAAAACCTATAATTAACACTGAAGTCTTTTTCCAAGGATATAATTCTCTTTACTCCACTAAGATTACACTAAAGCATTTTATTTTATTATTCCCTTACAAGACCCTCTTCCAGATCTGCTTTAAAATAAAAATCATTTTACAAGAGAGCCACAGGCACTCTTTTAAACAGGTGTGACTGTATCTGGAAATAACATTTTCATTTTGGGGGTGTCCAATTTTGTGCATTTTAACACATGTATGGATTTGTTTAACCAACATTGTGGTCAGGACCCAAAACAGTACCATCATCTCTCCCAAATCTCACTTTTTAGTCACAGTCTCCTCCCATTTCTAACCTCATGAAACCATTGCCCTCTATCATTATAGTTTTTACTTTCTGAGAATGAAAATATTATATAAATGGAGTTTTGCAATATTTTTAAGGTGTGGTTGAATAGATAAGTTTTCTTTAACTTTCATACAAACACCCAGTCTTTTTTTCAGTGGGCCAGCCCACCACAAGATGTAGGCTGTAGAGATTTTACAGCGGAGAACAATTCCCCTAAAGAGGCACCATTCACATTGTAGAAATTATAGTTTGTACAGGATAATTTTAGGCATATATCAAAGAATTTTTTTTTCTAAAAATTAATGTATTATGACAATTAGAAGTAAACTGTTTTCGGGTCCGGAAGCGGAAGTACCCACTGTGCGGGTCCCAATATGGCAGCCGCTGTGGCCCACATTTCCAGAGCCTGAAGGGGTGCAGTAGCTCGGTGTCCTGTGCCTCCGCCAGGCAGAGACACCCAGATTGTGGGGCCTTCAGACAGTAGTTACTAACAGGTCCCCCAAGTTGGACCCCTGCCCCAGCAGACCCCCTACCCGCATCCACAGGAGCACAGAGATAACAAACCAGCAGCCACCCTGCTGCACTCTCATCACCAGTCTGTTTATCAACCAGCCCCAGGCCCATCAATCAAAGGACTCAAATTTTCCACCTTTTTGAGTAGTGCCCTCCTCCCCTTCCTAAAATGCCCTTTATTAACCACAAGCACCCTCCTCTCAGTTCCAACGGCCTTCTCGTCCTTGGCCCATCTGCACCCAGATGGCAATAAATTCATCGCATGTTGCTTAGACTTTGTTTGCCTTGGTGGTCTCAATCGTGCCTCGGTCTGACCTTACAGTTACATCATAGATTATTAGGGAACCAGGCTGACAAGACTGAGCAACACTAACAAAACCTTTCGGAAAACACAGCTGTGCTCGTGAAGACTTACGGAGAGAAGCTCGATTTGAGCTGCCTGGATTTTAACATATGTAGACTCAGAGATTTTTTTTTCCCTTTTCCCTCTTCATATGTCACCTCGTGGGTTCAGTGGGATTTTTGTGTGGTCATTTCTGATTTGTTAGATAAAAGTGTGTCATTCTTGATTTATTTATTTAATAAGACTTTCTTTAAACGCTGTATAGTAGTCTGTCTAGAAAGGATTGTCTTTCTGAGGCTACTGTCTCTGTGAGATAGATGAACGTTACCCCAGTATTCTTTTGTTTTTTACAAAGGCAAGTTGCCATCTTTCGTTACCCTTGTGGAGAATAAAGGCATATCTTGCAAGCCAGGGGGTGGGAGGTGTAGTAAACTGTTTTAGAGCCAGGAATGATGGCGCATGCCTGTAATCCCAGCTCTAGGGACACTGAGGCAGGAGGATGGCCAGGAGTTCAAAGCCAGCCAGGGTTACAAAGGCCAGCCTAGACAACAAGACCCTGACTCAAAAAACCCATGAAGTAAATTGCTTTGAAGAAAAACAATAGCAACAGCAACAACAACAAAAACCCTCTTACCTAATTCACATGAAGGAATTATACGGTAGCCCTGCCAACACCAGAATTAAATTAGAATGATTTTCTACATAAAAATAAATCAAATTTGCCTCTTACTAAGAAAAAAAATGCTACTGAATCCAGAACTCATTCAGGCATGTCCCAACTTTTAGTTTGCCTGGGCTACACTGAGTAAAGAAGAATTGTCTTGGGCTTCCTTTTTTGTACTTGTTATTTTAACATTTTTTTAAAAGAGGACAAACAGCCTTCAGGGCAATATGTTAGTTGTACATTATATAAGCTTCCTTTTTTTATACTTGTTTTTATAGCATTTTTAAAAAGAGAGCAAACAGCCTTGAGGGCAGTGTGTTAGTTCTACATCAAGCCAATAAAAAAGTGAAGAGTAATTAAGAGTTTTACTCTTTAAAAATGCATATTAATCAAAACCAAAATGTCATATACTACTCCATAAAGAAAACATCAAAAGCTAGCTAAATACCTTCAGTGATTTTTGTCTTAAAGAAATAGAAAATTTTCTATTATGCTCCTTTTTTTAAAACAATTGAATATGGAAACCATAATAAGTAACATTTATGGTTTCCAATAATAACTATATGAAGTCAAGGGATTGCAAATAAGGCAGAAAGAGAATGAAGAGATAAAGCAAGTGCCAAATACAAGCAGTTGAAAGAAAAATAATAAAGTCAGGGAAAATTGTACTTAGGAGAACAAAGAACACAGGAGCTGACTCTGAGAAACAAAACTACCTTGCAATGATTTAAAACATCATCACTAGAAGCATCTAAATGCCTCTTATGTTTTCCAACTGTACATGAAGCTAATGTAAAAAGAGAAATATCACTTGCTGAAAAGATGGACTGTTTCTCATTTCAATCATAAGGTAACATCTTTGCTCAAACATAACCAATATTTCATTTTATCTTATTTTTTGTGCCAAGGATCAAACTTGGCCCCTTGTGCTTGCGAGGCAGGCACTGGAACCACTGAGCTAAATCCCCAGCCCAACAACTAATACTTTCAAGTTGGCTGGGAAAAGATACTTTGAGTCAAATACAGAAAACATAGAATCCAACTATTTAATATTTTTACTGCTATGTTGACAAAACAACAATAGGGTGACATTTTAGAGCGAAATCACATTTTACCTTACCAAGTAAATGGGTAATACTGTAAAACCTCAAACCATGTCAAGAATAATCTCTTATTTAATGAATACATTTGAATGCCAGACTATATCCTTAGCCCTGTTCTTTCAAATAATCTCCATGAGTTGCACATCCTTAAATCCTCCAAAATGGAGAGTTTTAATAAGAGATAAAGACTTACAGTGGATCCTCAAGTTACGACCCACCTGACATATGAACAACTTGGGTTTATAAGGTTAATGCAAGATTCTTCTGCCTCTTGTTATCTATAGTTTGTACCCAGGTAAACATCCAGATCTCAGCTGTATTGACTTACAACCAGCCCTGGAGAACCAATTAATTTCTAAGTCAAGGATCCAATGTATTGGAAGCCTCTGTTGGCAAACAAACTCACCAAAGTCTTGTGGCTTTGAATTCAGTGGCATAGAGTAAGAATGCCAATGTTTGTTGCCTTCTAAAAACTATTTAACATTTCACACCTGAAAGCTTCCTTTGAGATATAATTAATATTATTTGTGTCAGATCTTTAGTGACTGTCTTATCCACTCTGGCTCCTTCAAGTCAGTCGGTGCTCTATCCTTAAGGAAGAAAACACTAAGTTTTACACTGCTGGATTCACAATTCATGCAAGCGTCTCATAATGAAAAGAAATGAATATATCCTTTTATCTTCAAGGGAAGGAAAAGAAATAAATGGGACATACCAATCGTTTCTAGTGAGTTCCCAGAATGAAGAGGGTCTATAATGATAAGGGCGATGCTGAAGAATATGCAGCACTGCAAATCCCATGAACTTTCGTTGAATCTTATTACCACATATACAATTATGACAAGTTCAGCAAAAATGCTAATCAGTCCGGTCAACAAGACCTGCAAACCAATTCATAACATAGTTCAGATTTAACATCCAATGAGAGCATAACTGCATTTACTTGTGTCTTAAGAACCGTACCTTAATTATATTTTAACTGACACATAACAATATTACGTATAATAATTCGTGGAGGGGGCACAACATATATGGGGTATAACAATCAAATTAGGGTAATTAGTGTATCCATCATCTCAAATGTTTACTGTTTCTTTGCGTTGGAAACACAAAATCCTCTCTTCCAGTTATTTTGAAAACTGTGTATAATAAATTATTTTTAACGATAGTGCTAGAATGGAATCCTCCTAGCTAGCTGTATTTCTTCACTTGTCAACTGACATTTCTCTAATCCCTCTTCCAGTTTTTTTCTCCCAACCTCTGGTAACCACTATTCTATTCTCTACTTTTATGCAATCAACTTTTTTAAACTTCCACAAATAAATATGAACAAATAATATTCATCTTTCAGTGCCTAGCTTAATTCGCTTAATGTAATTTCCTCCAGATCCATCCAGGTTGCTGCAAGTGACAAGATTTCATTTTTTTATTGCTTTAATATCATCCACATTGTGTACATTCCATCCAGACCTTAGTGAATGCAGACTCCTCTTTGGCAGACTGATTTATTTTGTTCTTGTGTTTCTTTGTTTGTTTGTTTGTTTTGGATACTGCTGGAAAATATTCTATTTTTAGTTTTTTCAGGAATCTCCACATTTTTTTCCACTGTGGCTGTCCACCAATACACATTCCCACCAGCAATTTAGAAGATTTCTGCCTGCTCCACAGTCTCACCAGCATTTGTTAATTTTGTCCTTTTGATCAAGATAACCATTCTAACTGTGGTGAAAGGGTATCTCACTGTGGTTTTGTTCACATTTCCCTGATGTTAGTGATGTGGAGCATTTTTTCATATTCTTATTGGAAATTTGCACATCAGATTATTTGGCCATTTTTAATTGTATGATTTGGGGGTTTGGGTATTTAATTGAGTTCTATAGTCTGGATAGTTACCCCTTGTTCAGTGAATAGAATAGCTTACAAATATTTTATCCCATTTTGCAGGTTGACTCTTTGCTTTATTGATTGTTTTCATTGCTGTGCAAAAGTTTTTCATTTGATATGATTCCATAGGTCTTCATTTAACTCCATTTGTCTAGTTTTGCTTGTGATGTTTATGCTTTTGAGGTCTTATCTTGGTACATACCAGTGTTCTGAATCATTTCTCTTGAGATTTATTTCAGTAGTTCCATAGTGTCAGGTCTTACATTTAAATCTTTGACTGTTTTGAGGGTTTTTTAAATGGAAAGTATTGAGTATCTAATTTTATTCTTCTGTACATGAATATCCAATCTATCTACCACCATGGTAATGAAGAGAACAGTCCTTTCTCCACTGAATATTTGCAGTGCCTTTGTCAGAAAATTATTAGTGGTAAATATGTGGATTTGTTCCTGGGTTTTCTTCTTCTGTTTGTCTCTGTGTCTATTGTGATGCCAGTACTATGCTGTTTTGGTTAGCTTTGAAGTATGTTTTGAAGTCAATACTTCCAGCTCTCCCCACCCTACAACATTTTGGCTATTCAGGTTCTTTTGGGCTACCATACAATTTTTGGATTCTTTTATATTTCTTTAAAGAATGCATTTCAAATTTTGATAAAGATTGCATTCAATCTGTCTCACTTTGAGTAGTATGATCATATTAATAATACTAACTCTCAATTCATGAATATGGGATATCCTTCCTTTTTATGTGTCTTCAGTCAATGTTTTATAGTTTTCACTTAGAGATTTTTTTTTTTACCTCCTTGGCTAAATTTAATCCCAGGGGATTTTTGTGCTTTGTTTATTTTGTAGCTATTGCAAAGGGATTGCTTTCTTTCTTTTTTCCAGATAGTTCATTGTTGGAGTATAGAAATTCAAGTGATTTTTCTATGTTGATATTTTACCCTGTAACTTTTCTGAATTAATCAGTTCTAACAGTTTTTGGTAGACACTTTAGATATATCTGCATATAAGAGTACGTTGTCCACAAACAGGGATAATTTGACTACCTCTGATATCCTTCATTTCTTTCTTTTGCCTAAGTACTCTGGCTAGGACTTTCTTAGTTATATATCTTATACAGTTATTCAGGATGATAACTTCTAGGTCTATTTTTAATCACACCAATGCATTAAGCATTTTTTGTAAAAAACAGAAATTTTCAAGTTGCATAAAATAAAAATACAAATAAATGTATACTATTCAAAAAGATATCCAAACATAAGAACAATAAAATCTTGAAAATAATAGAATGAAATAATTGTTGTTGGCCAACTTAACCAAAATAATCCTGCTGTAACTATAATAATACCAAGTAAAATTGACTTGAGGAAAAAATAGAACATTATTTCAGATACAAGATTAATTGAATAACAAGAAAAATTAACAGTGAAAATAATGTTTATATGTGCTTAGTAACAACTTGTATTTATATAAAGTAAATTCTGACAGATATTGCAAGAAAAAAATTAATAAATCCACAGGCATAGTGGAAGCTTGTTAGATCTGAGTTGAAACACAATATTGGCAAAGACTTGAAAGACTGAATTTCATAATTAACCAAACAATACTCTGAACAAATTTAGACCTCTGCACTTAACAATTAGAGAATATTCATTTTTGTAAAGAAAAACTAGAACTTTTAGGAAAATTTAACAAGTACCAGGCAGTGAAGTAATCCTCAATAAATCACAAGATTTATACATACATTCCCTGATCACAAAATGATGACAGAAATAATAAACTATTATTATATTTGAAAAATTTTAAACAACTTCTAAATAATTAATGGGTTATAGGCTAATAAAATTTATAATGATAATAAAAGTCACTAAAAGTCAAAAAAATTTTTAAACCTTAAATACACAAAATACCCCCCAAAAGCTAAGAAATCAATGAAAATTAACTGTAGATGTTAGGAAAACAGAACAAAACCAAAGCAAATAAAATGTTTTCTGAGAATGCATGAGTCCAGCAAAAATATCAAGCTAAGAGAAAACAGAGGCAAATGTACAGGTACAGTGGAGATGAAGTCACGTACGGGAACCAGAATCTAGTTTCAACATTTATCGGTGTTGTCATTTCTGGGCTTCAGTTTGTTCATTTGCAAAATGGGGATGATTTTTACTCAGTGTCTAGGCACAGTGGTGTCTCAACAAATACTAGTTCCTTCCCCTTCTCTCCAACTGTCTTTAATTAATGATTCTTCAAAATCAAGAGCATAAAACAACTAAAAATGTGAGATTTATGAATGATTAATCTTTTATATAAAGCCATATTTTCTATCAACTTAAATAAGCAAGCAATTTGTTTTAAAATGTGTTCTTACCTGCCAAAACACATTCTTGAGTATATAAAAGTCCAATTGCAATGAAACCATAAATGTAATTAAAGGTATAAAATAACAATAAAGTGAAAAACTTGGCGTTCTTAGAAGAGGGTAAATAATTTCATGCACCTAGAACAACAAAGGTCAACAAGAAATTAATTTACTGCCATTTTGAAATAATAGATATTAGGTCAATGCTGTGTCAATCAATATAAATTTTAGAATATTCTCACTTGTAGCTAATGAGAGATTATCTATGTGGTCAATCTCAGAAGTACTGTGGTAGATTTCTTGGGCTAACTCTTCAAGTGGATGGTTACATAATTCTATTCACCAGCAAATTGTGCAGTTTTTGGCTACATAAACATTATTTGTGGCATGTAATTAGTATTTTCATAAATGGTATTCCTACCACTGATGAAACCTGAGATAATTTTCGGTGATTCACAAATAAATATTTTTATTTGACTGCTAGATGTTTATTTTAATTTGCTTTAAGCAGGGAAAATAATCTTGTAGGTATTTGTGGTATCACAGAATTTTACTTAAGACTGAAAAATCAGTCATTGAAGAAAAACAATACTTAGATAATATAGTTTGTTACATAAGACATAAATCAGGAGGATCATACATAGAGTGATTGAAACACAGCTATGATACAATTGTTGCAAATATTCGCTCCTGAAAAGTTCGTTTGGAAATAGTTTTACCTTCATTACTAAACTCTCTGACCCTAGGTGTCCTCATCCATAAAAGGAAATAGAGTACTACTTCCCTGATGATTAGTGATGGGAAGCATTTTTTTAACTAAGAGAGCAAAAAAATCAAGCTAAGTGAAAACAGAGGCAAATTTACAGGTACAGTGGAGATGAAGTCATGTACGGGAATCAGAATCTAGGTTCGACATTTATTGATGTCATTTCTGGGCTTCAGTTTGTTCATTTGCAAAATGGGGATGATTTTTTACTCAGTGTCTAGTCACAGTGGTGTCTCAACAAATAGATGGAGTACTATTTCCATTGAGTTCCCTTGAGAATGAATGAATTAATGAACTCAAAAGTTAATGAATAATTAATAAATACAAAACACTGAAAAGACAGCCTGGAAAAAGATGACAGCTATTAGAAAAAGTGGTATTTCAGAAGACTAACATTGTACAACCCTAGATACGTACAGGCAATTCCTCCATTAAAAAATAAAATAAAGCAATGGAGGGTAGGGATGTGACTCAATTATAGAGCAATTGTTTAGTGGGCCATGGGTTCAATCTGCAATATGGGGATGTAGGAGTGATATAAATTGTTAATTGATCACATTGCTATGCATTTGAAATCACAAGTTAATAAATGAATAATTTTTTCTGTGTCAGTATTACATGATGCATGTTTTACACTTAATCTGACAGAGAAGAGTAACTGTTTCAGCACAAAAATAACTACTGCCTTGGATAAAGAAGATGTGGTTTCTTTATAAAATGGAGTACTACGCAGCCATAAACAATGCTAAAATAGAGGCTCTTCTAGCTAAATGGATGCACTTTGAGGCCATATTCTTAAGTGAAATAAATAAGACACACAAGTGTAAACACCGAATAGTTTCTCTGGTGTGAGGAACTGCAAGAGTAAATGAGGACCAAAATGTATAATACATAATGCAAAATAGGAAGAAATGGTCCAAGGGGAAGGGACACTAACAATGGATGGAGGAAAGGAAAAAATACAAGGAGGAGAAAAACAGAAACAAATATTTTGTAAATAGGGAAGGGTGGAAGGGTGGAAGGGAAGGGAGGTAAACGGGGAAAAAGAAAAGACCCTAGCTATATCATGTGCAGGTACAAATTTCCGATGATGAAGGTGATCATTATGTATACCTAAAATGTACCAATAAACTTTATGGAATTAAAAAAAAGAACTATTGCCTTTTGTAATAGATCACAGAAGGGAAGAAGCCCGTGTATCTACTGAGAAAATAAACCAAAGCAAGGTTCAAAGGACCCAAAAATACAAATGAATTTTCCTCACTTCCAAATTACTGCTTTAAGATTTCCTTGGGCTGGGGATTTAGCTCAGCAGTTCAGTGGCCTGCCTTTCCACTGAACCGAGTTCAATCCCCAGTACCAAAAGCAAAACAAACGAAAAAAACCACAAAAAAACCTAAAAAAAAAAAAAAGATTTCCTCATGTATATCTCCTTTATATTGTGTGTGTGTTTGTGTGTGTGTGTGTGTTCACTTGCAAAAATTTTTAGGGGGACTTCCAGGAAAATGGTGGAGTGGTGAGCCACAATCAGCCCTAAGATTCAGAATCCAGACACTGGAAAACAACTTGGGGAGGAAAAAAAGGGGGGGAAATAGATGCCTGGTAATCAGGAAGTATCTGACAGGGAAATTAAAATCTAAAGTGAAATTGAAAAGACAGAACACAACACAGAAAATGGAAGAGGCAGTCTGTACTTTTTTCCCTGGCTTCCAGCTCATGGCTCCCAAGAAAAAAAGACCAAATCTATAAAGACAAAGTGAAAGCAGAAGGCTCCAGAGGGCTTCAGGGAAAAACACAACAGTGGAAAGAACTCAATGATGCTGTGCATCCCAACAGCGGGCAAGTGATCCAATCCAAGCACCTCTCATAGCCTCTAAAGAGACTGTTTGATCAGACATCATTCCAGGGATAGGTGGACTGTTTGAATCCGGGACTCAGAGCAGTCACTGGATAGCTTCACTTCAGGGTTCCCAGCGTTACCTTCCCACAGTGACTGGATGAGGAACAGAGACAGCTGTGGTCAGGGAGCCATGTTCAGGCTGGCAAGAGACACCCTGAGGAGTTTAAATTTAAGAGCACAGGCCCCACCCTTATATCCAGAGGCCAAGCTCAGCCTGAACTGCTCTGGGTTTGGAAGTCGCAGAATTGCACCCTAATCCTATTACCTGCAGGTGCCTGCAGTTTGTCCTCAGGGCATTGAGTGGATATTCACTGTATGTAAGTTTCTGATTGCCTTAGATTTTGTCATATAAGTCTTGTGTCTATGGTTAAAAGCAACAAATTAATACTTATCACAGTGTCATTTTCCAGTCTGTGATGATATTGTTATTACTGATCATACTACTTTAGCCAAAGTGACATAGTCGTCATAATCAATTGATCTTCCTTGTATGCCAATACCAGATTATCTGGATTCCATAAATAATGTTAAGGTCCAGTGCCAAAGAACTACGTGCTAGGCCAAACAGACTGCAGCCTTTCATCCCTAATAAAATGCAGATGCAGGATCCTGGGACAGACCCAAAAGCCAGCCACATCTAGAAGATATCTCTGAAAAGTAGTTATTTCCTAAAGATGTCTTGATCCTACTAAGAAACAAAACAGACAAGTCTATAATCAATTTTACCAAAATAAGGAAAGAAAAGACCTAAATCCATGTTATTAGAAATGAAAATGGCAAAATCAAAACAGATTCTGCCAAATTACTTTAAGAACCTGTACTCTAATAAAATGAAAAATCCAAGCCAGGTGTGTGGTGGATGCCTGTAATCCCAGCACTTGGGAGGCTGAGGCAGGAGGATCACTGTGAGTTCAAGACCAGTGTGGGCTACATAGTGAGTTCCAGGTCAGTGTCAACTACATAGTGAGACCCTGTCTCAAAAAACCAAAAAATAAAATAAAATGAAAAATTCAGAAGAAAAGGATTTATTCCTAAATACATCTATAATACCAAAGCTGAATCAAGAAGATATAAAAATTTTGAATAATTGAATATCAGTCAATGAAATTAAAGAAATTATTTTTTAAAACAACTACCAACGGGGCCAGGAATTTAGCTCAGTGGTGCTGTGCATGCCTTGCAAGCACAAGGTCCCGAGTTTGATCCCTGGTCCCAAAAGCAAAAAAACAAACAAACAAAAAAAACTACCAACTAAGAAAAGCCAAGGTCCCAGTAGCTTCACTCCTGAATTCTACAAGAACTTTAGAGAAGATCTAATGAAATAGGAAGCAATTCAATACTCCCAAAGTCATGCCTGGAAGCAAGTGTCACCCTAATTCAAAAGTCAGAAAAGCACCCAACCAAAGAAGAGAACCACAGGCTGATCTCTTTAATGGACATACATGTAAAAATCCTCAATAAGATACTGGCAAACATAGTACAGCAAATCATCAAAAAGATCAAACATCGTGACCAGGTAGTGTTCGTTCCAAAGATTCAGGAATGATTCAACATATCCAAGTCAATAAATGTGATACACCACATAAAGAGAAACAAGGACAAAAATCACATGATCATCTCAATAGACACAGAATAAGCATTTGACAAAATCCAACGCCCATTCATGATTAAAACCCTGAAGAAAATAGGTGCAGAAGGTCTTTATCTCAATCTCATAAAAGCCATCTATGATAAGCCAACAGTCAACATCATACTAAATGAAGAGAAGCTGAAAGCTTTCCTTCTAAAATCAGGAACAAGACAAGGATGTCTGTTATCACACTCCTGTTCAATAGACTTCTCAAGATATTAGCCAGAGCAATTAGATGAGAAAAAAAATAAAAGGGATGGGAGCAGACAAGGGAGAAGTTATCATTTTCAGATGGCATGATCCTCTACATAAAAGACTCCAAAAACTCTACCAAAAAACTCCTAGAATGAATAACCGAATTCAGTAGCATAAGAGGATATAAAGTCAACACTCCAAAATCAATAGTGTTCCCGTACACCAATGACAACTCACCAAGAGGGAAATTAGGGAAACAATGCTTACCACAATAGCATAAAAAAATGAATTACTTAGGAATTAACCTAACCAAAGAAGTGAGAGATATCTACAGTGAATGTTGTAGTAGTCTGTAAAAGGAGATCAAACAGGATGTCAAAATGGAAGGATATCCCCTGTTCCTGGATAGGGAGAACCAATATAGTCAAAATGGTCATACTCCCAAAGCTTATACCAATTTACACAATCCCAATCAAAAAACCCATAGCATTCCTCACAGAACTACAGAAAGCAATCCCAAAATTCATATGGAATCAAAACAGACTTAGAATATCAAAAGCAATTCTGGGCAACAAGGGCAAGGCAGGACATTACAATCCCAGACTTCAAATTATACTACAAAGCCACAGTGATAGAAACAGAATGATGTTGGCCAAAAAATAAATAAATAAACAGACAATGGACAACAAGAAGATGGTAAAACAACTTTAGGCATGCTCAGCTGCCTTATCTTTGACAGTGGGGCCTTTCGCTGGAGGAAAGGCAGCCTTTTTAACAAATGGTGTTGGGAAAGCTGGCTATTTACATGCTGAAGATTGAACCTAGACCTATATCTCCATGTACTAAACTAAAATCAAAATTGGTCCAAGATCTAAATATTAAAACAGAAACACCTCATCTGCTGGAAGACAAAATATAAAAACATAAGTGTAGGCAAAGACTCTCTGAGCAGAACTTTGTTTACACAAGAGAGAATACCAAGAATCAACAAATGGAATCACATCAAATTAAAAAGCTTCACTGCAAAGGAAACCACCGAAAGAGTGCAAAGATAACCTACAGAATGAGAAAAAATATCTGCAACAAAGAAAAACAACACAAATTCTTTCTCACTCCAGAAAATATGGTTATCTTCAAGAAATCAAACAGTAACAAATGCTTTCAAGGCTGCAAGGATATAGGAATCCTTCTTCACTGCTGGTGGGAGTACATATTGGCACAAACCACTATGGAAATCAGCATGGAGATTCCTCACAAAATTCAAACTAGAAGTTCCATTTGACCCAGCTAATCCCCTTCTATTTATCTTCTCATGAGTTAAAAACATCGCGCCACAGTTATGTATGCATACCCGTATTTATAGCAGCACAACTCATAACTGATAAATCTTGGAAGCAACCTGCATGTCCATCAACAGATGAATGGATAAAGAAAATATGGTATTTATACACAATGGACTACTACACTCCCGTAAAGAAGGATAAACAAGTTATCTGTAGGAAAATGGGTTCACCTTAGTAATCAGACACAGGAGCTCCCATACTGCATGGCTTTTTCTTATATGAGAAACTCAATATACAAATAAAGTTAAAAGTACTATACGAAATAAAGAAAGTTATTGTGATTTAACATGGGCAATGTATTTGAAAGTGTACCTTGTTTTAGTATAACTGTCTTATGTGTTTCATATGTTTTTTGGCCTGTTACCATGCCTGCTAATTTGTATGTCTGATGAGTAGCTTTATAAGGACATATGAGACAAATAAATAAATATAATGCTGGTGAAAAATCGAGGATGGAGGGAAAGGGGAAAAAAGGAATTGAGATGTGTTCTGTACACGTACCACAATGAACATAATCATCATGTACTGTAAACGTGGACTAAAAAATATTTAATGGCAGGTTAAATTACTTTAATATCTGTTCACATTAAAACCATTCACACATTTGGAGATGAGATGGAAGTGGACCTGTTTGGGGTATGTATCTTTTAATGTATTATCTAATTTATTATATATACAGTACCTCAACAAAATAGTAAGCCAGTTGTCCTAAAATAAATCCTAATAGAGAAAGAGTTGTCAAGACAATGAAGTCATGATTCTTTAAAAGCACCTTCAAAATACCTTTAAAAAAGAGAATGTATGTTTAAACATAACTCATAGTTTCAAAATGAGAATACCTAGATTTTATCATTGCCCATTATATACTTGTGTCAGATTATACTGTGCCCCATAAATATGTACAAATATTATGTGTCAATTAAAATATAAACCCTATTGAAAGAAAAATTATACTTTATAGTTTTAAAACAATTTAATATTCACCCTCTATTTAATTTTGAACATTCTGAGTGTCACATTATTTTTTCTTTTCCCTCTAAATATTTCTTAGTGTTTTCTTTTCTAAAAACAAATAATTCTTTAATTACAAAATGTTCAGAATCAGAAAATTAACATTACCTCAAAACTATCGAATCAGTAGACTGTACTGTCTGAGTGTCACATTATTAGAAATGAAGAGTCAATGATTGTTACAAACACTGTTAAGTATGAGCCACATGTAAAAGGGCATCTCTCACGGGTGAATTTTAAAAACACTGAGGCTTCAGCACCTTCCCACCTGCCCACCCAGTGACACATTAGGATCACTGTAGGTGTCTTCCTACGGAGCCAATGTTGAGATAATTAAAAAGCCCAGCCTAATATCAACACATTTCACCTTATATCAATAAATATTTTGTTCTACAGCTAAAACAATACATGTTTTATAATTTTTCTGAAAGTCAGATATTCTTTTGACTCTAACCATAAAGAAAATTGCCTTCACCACACAAGAAACACCTCTTATCATAGATATTTGTTTGCCAGTCTTCCAGTGCCTACCGCCTTGCCTTGCTCAGCAAGTAGGGACAAAAATAAATACTATTTAAAATTGAATGAGGTTATACTGACAGCAGTCACTTCATCTTGAAATTTCATTGGCCTCTTCTCTTGATGTAGTTGTGACCACTTTCTACTCAAAGGGCAGAGGACAAATTTTAAAAACAACCACCTACCTCCCAAAACACCAATGAAACATATGAGCAGTGGGAAATGTTGCTTTGTTACAAGGTAATCAGGTATATTCCCACAAAGTAAATCAGGTTTGGAACTGTCTCCTTGTGACCAAAAGGAACTATTCATGTTTTGCTGGTTTTTCTATCACTCGAAGGACTCACATCTATTATCACTGACACTTTCACCAATTCAGACTAACCTGTTATAATATGCAAAAAGAGAAGAAATATGAGGCCAAGACCCAATCAAACCATACTCCTACTTAAGATTAAACCACACAGGGCCAGGGATTTAGCTCAGTGGTTCCTCTGCCTGCCTTGCAAGCACAAGGATCTGAGTTCGATCCCCAGTACCAAAAAACAAAACAAAAAAGATTAAACCACACAGATCTGAGCATGTCTCTTCTTCTTGTAAGGCACATGTTAATACCTCTTGTTCTACCTCTTACAACAGCAGTGTTGATGTTGCTTCCTCGTACTGCTACCTATTAAATAGGACAGAGGGTATATGGATTATCGTACTGACTAATTTCACGCTATGGTAATACTATGTCCCCCACTGAACAGTGAGTTTCTCAAAGGCCAAGGCTAAATATTGACTTTCAAGGCTGTGCACATAGTGTGCAGCATGATAGGCTCTTGATAAATATCTGAGGAGCTGAACTCTGAGAGAAGAGGAGCAACGTTATATGTTATACTCCTCCTTCTTTATGGGTCCAAATAAATCTTCCTAGAATCCCACTTTACTACTCCAACCCCAGTTTGTCTCAGCCTCCTCCAAAACAAAACTGAAAAATGGGAAGCAAGGTCAAAAAATCGGGTCACAACAGTTAAGCGTGGGAAGTGAGGATGGGTGAGAATAATCTAAAAACAAAAAATAAGGCTAAGGTTGAAGTTCGGTCACTGGTGCCTCTGACTGAATTAGAAAAAGTCCCCCTTCCTCAGAGTAGCAAAGCGTGAAAGCATGCACAGTCCTTGGCACGTGAATTGTAGGCTGGATTCCAACCCCAGTGCCCTTCTTAGCTGGTGCCCTGGTGTGGACAAAAACTATACAAATGTATGTAGTGGTCCTGAGAAAGACTTGGGCTGTTTTATTTTTCCTTCTTAACCTCGGAACTCCTGCAAGTTCTTAAAGTAGCAGCAATACTATTAAAGTTCATCGTGGTCCAGCACTGAAACTGTTTGGTCTACAGGGTACAATGATTTTGCTATGAAGCCTGGAGTGGGCTAAAAATACACTCAAAATATTACATCTTCAAACCCTTCACCTGTCCCTCAAGTAGCCCTTCAAGTCCTCGGCATCTTCAAATTCTTCTAACCCCACATATTAACGACCTTTAAATCAAGTTCTCTAAACGACAGAGATGGTTCTTCCAAACCCAAGCTTCTTCTGTGTTGAAATCAAGGTGAAGGATCTCAAAATCTCAGAACTAAGCTCAGCTCTGCATCTGTTTGCCAAGGACAGCGCTGCCAACTGATACAAGGGGCAAAGCAGTTTTCAAGCCTACTTCCGTTGGCTTCTTGACAGCCTGGATCTGCTCTGATTGGCTACTCCATTATCTCCACCACCAATCCGGAAGAAGCTGTTATTTACTTACCGTGAAGCCTGCCTTTCTTAAATGTTCAAGCTTAAATGTTCTTAAATGTACGACAACTGTTTTAACTGATTTCGCTTGACGATATAATAGCTGAAATGGTCAAAGACATCAACTATGCAGGCAAAAAATATATATAAATATTATACATATATTTATATATATATATATAATTTTTAAAGACAACTGTATCCAGTTCAGCCCCAGCTCTCTTAAACACTGCCTTTTCTCTTCTCTCATTTTCAGTCAGTCAATTTTTTCTACCTTTCAACATTTCTCATTCCCTCTTCACTCCTTTCCAATTTTCATTGGTTTGGGTCCTCAATTTTAAGAAATAAATACTGCCACCTATTCTCTGAGGGAGGGCAAATACATTGACCTGCTGCATGGTGGCACACACTTGTAATTTCAACACTCTGAGAGGCAGAAGCAAAAGGATAACAAGTGTAAGCCCAGTGTGGACAACTTATTGACTTGGCAAGATCCTGTTCAAAATGGAAAATATATAAAAGGGACAAAGTGTAGCTCAGTGCAAAGGCTCTGGGTGCAATTTCCCCAGCAGGAGGACAGCAAGCGTGCAAGCAAGCATCCCCCAATTCTGTGATGCCTAACTCAAAACTTTTCGCCTAGAATCTAATTACTAGAAATGTATATAGTATGAATTTTTAATGAATATTAATCAACGTGTAGGTTACTTTCAAGGATGAGCTATTTTGTGACTAGGAACATCTACTCTGTTGTTCTTATGCTTCATGAATCAAGGTTGCTATGTATCCTTTTCCCCAAGGAGAAGGTCACAGCAGGAAGATTACTAAACCTTTTATCAATCTTTTCTATTATTTAGGTATTAGAAAAACTTTGATCAGTAAGAGTCCCAATTCCTAGATAGAATTTCAGCTGACAGCTCTGTGTCTGAACCTGACTCTAACCAGCACTTTGGCATCAACCCACTGGCCCTAAAAATACACTCTGCCACGTTTTCTTGTACAGAATTGTGTGGTTCTGTGAAGCCACTGGACCCATTCCTATCACATGACAGAGACTGTATTAAAAGAAAGTCTTATTCATAGGTTCTGTCCTGAGAGGCCCATTCCTTACCCTTTCCCATTCTGCCTTTTCTTAACCCATCTGATGACCATATTTCACTGTGCTTTCCCGCATTTTCATCCTCACTTGATATACACCGGTAGTAATCTTGATTTCTCTCAGGCACTGTTTGCACTTTCTCAGATCATTTAACTAAGGCCCTTCTGGTTCTGTCATTCCTGTCCCACTGTCCCCTCAGGTTCTTTTCATCTAAACTCTATGGGTAAGTCTCCTGTGATTTCAATTTAAGTTTCAAAATCCAGATTTCACCAAATCCTCATGCTTCAAGAAAACTTGGATAAAAATGTAGTCAGCCCTGGCTTACATATAGTCCTGAAACCTAGAGCTAGGACATAACCAAAATACATAGACAAGAAAATTTCTCTTTGCCACAAACTTTCCCTAGAGCTCCTTTTAAAAAGCCATAATTTATATTTCATCATTTTTTGTAAAGCCAGCAGACTTGATAGCTTTGGAGAGCTAAGGGCTGAGGCTATCCCGTGGGCTTCCTCTCTACCCGGTCCTCTGATAACAGTGATAACAGACGATGTGACTGTGACTTACAGACACACATCATAGACGGGTATGTAGTTTCCCAGGCCCCTAGCACTATGATTGGCTCCGGATTGGGAATGGACTCAGACAAGACCAATCACATGATTCCTTGGGCTGAGACACACAGTTACTGAGAGAGAGCGCTGTTCTCTCTCCGTTGAGGGTTAGCTGTGATCATGGTTTCCTATGCACCTATAGCCAATCTTCTCAATTGCATGGAGAAAGCCCACCTAAAATCTTAACATTTCTATGAGGCATCATCTTAGATATTTCTAAGATCCTAACAAATAACTCTAGAATTCCTTCCCAGGCTTTATCTTTTTCCAGAAGTTATTTCTTAGTTCAAAAACTTTTTTCCATCTAGAAAGGTTGGGAATGAGAAATAGTTTTGTTTTCAAATCAAATACTGGCTCCTCTATGTTACTTTTGCAGTTTATATGAAAGTTGAAATGTTTCTTTTGTCAGCTCATCTCTTTCTTCACTTTTTTTTTTCTTTTTTGGTTCCAAGGATGGAACTCGGGGCCTTGTGCTTGTGAGACAGGCGGTGGCACCACTGAGCTAAATCCCCAGTCCTTTTTTCACGTCTTAGAAGAAACCAAGTCACACTGGAATGCTGACTGGAAATTCTCAGCAGGATCATTGAGTCCATTACCTAAATAGTTGTGGCCCACGGGCAGCCTCCGAGAGGCTGTGAATACTCCACTTGAGGCCTACAGGCTGACTCACACCTCCCTCTAGGCCTACCTCACGTAGCCTCCATCCAGTCCCAAAGCTTGTGCCACCTATTTTAGGTTTTGTTACACTCATTTCACACTCCTAAAATGTGTATGTTATACATTGCTGTGTAGCCAATAAACACAAAACTTAGTAGCTTAAAACAAAAACAATCATTTATTTAGCTCCCAAGTCTGCAATTCTGGCAGTGCTCGGCAGTTTGTCCACTCTAGACAGCATCAGCTGGGTAACCCGGCTGCAGATCCGCTTCCAAGATGACTCAGTCATACGCCTGGCACATGGAGGATGACAGCTGGCTGAGCCCAGCCAAGGCTGTGGCTTCAGGTTCTTTCCATGTGGATCTCTCTGATAGCTGGTTTCTAAGAGCAACATCTTAGTAGAAGCAGGCAGAAGCCACATCACCTTTTATAATCTTAGCCTTGGAACATCACACAGAACCACTTTCACAATAGTACAGGCCTCACAGATTCAAGAGGAGAGAACAGAGACACATCTCTCTACATGAAGAAGGTTGTGTTCACATTGTAAAAAGCACACCTGAGGTGGTCGATGGGGCCATCTTGGAATATATAATCCACCACACGTCAGCATGAACACTGGGATAATTGTCAGTCTTTTACAAGATGGGCATTATGCTAACCCAAACAGCAATCTCCCTGCTTTGCTTAGTCTAGGGTGGTAGCTTTCAAAGGCTGGACTATAGGTCAGTGCTGATTCATGACAAAAGTTCCATAGCATATGACAAATTGAGTAAAATCAAAGTTCTATAATAAAGCTTAATTTTTCCATGTTAAACGTAAGGTCTTACATTGAGATCCTATTTTCCCTACATTTTGGGGGATGTTAAAATGTCTTTTATTAAATGATAATAGGTACTAGTTGTTTCCTTAAAAGGTTATATCAATCTTCTCCCTTTATTTTTTATATTTTTCTGATCAATGAAACCCAAAACTCTAAAGAACCATTTTCTAAAGGTTATTACAGCACTAAATTTAGCCTTTGATTGACTACTTCTCAACTACTGTGGAAGCATTTTTTAAATACTAGTATGTCCTCTGAATAGTAATTACTCTGTGAAAGTTTACGAAAAGCCATGCAGCTACCCAAGTAACACTCAGACTCAGAGCATAAGAGAATTTTAACCGTCCTATGTATCTATTAATTTTGTACAACAGGTAACAACAGCAAATACTGTATCTCTCAAAAAGTTATAGATCTATAGATGTAAGTAAATGTCAGATCCTCGTATTATCAGAATCTTTGAAATAAGATCCAGGAATCCATTGGTAATCACCAGGTTCACAGGCTTTAAAAATAATATGACATTCAAGATGAAGGCTTAGGAAATAGAAAGTCAGAAAACAGACATAGAGCCATAGTGTGGGATGTGTGCCTGTCGGGAGAGTAGGAATTGAAATGGGGCACTAGCCTAAGTTTGGGGGTCATTTTTATAAAGGCGAACAGGCTCTATGAATGAATGAAGAAGTAGTGGTTTCTATGAAGAAAGGTAGAGCTAAAAGTGAATTTATGTAACTATTATTTACTAATTTACTATCTTACTGACTCTTCAGGTATAACAAAGTTGCTATCATCAAAAGGTTCATAATTCACATGCAGAGACAAACATGAATGATTAACCAGCTATTGGCACTAAGAGTGCCCCAAAGGAGAAAGGATTAGTTCTTTGTAATGGGGGTAGGGAAGGGGAGACTTAAGCATTGTTTCACGGGGGGATCAGGGCTGAATTTTGAGGGGTTCCCACAGCTGGGGACAAGACGAGGAAGAGAAGCTGGTAAAGGAATTAGAAAAGCAGACTGTGAGAAAGCAGAGCTCTCACGATTGGCATAAAGGTGCCACTGTAGGGACGTTAGCCCACAGAACATTAGCAAATATATCAAGAGCTACAAAGAGTTTGAGGATAAATATTGAAATATAAGTATGAAAAGGAGAGAGAGGCTTATTATAGCAGATCTCTAGAAATGCGGCAGTCTTACTTGGGAATCTCAGAAGCAAAGTCCAGGGTTCCTTTCCTACTCACCAGGAATGCTCACCTGGAAAGTAATATTGTATTCAAGATCAGGCTCAGAAAATGCAGAAAGAAGAATAGAAATAACAAAAATGGTGCCTGGCCTCTTCATAAATTATTGCAGTGCTGAATGACATTGGACTTTTAGAAATGTCCTGTATCAAGAAAATGGAGCAAAGATATCTTTCTTTGTATGTCTCCAAAAGCACCCAGAAGGCCTATCAAAGAGAAGGGTAAAAGTTATTGCCCTGTTCATCTGCTTAAGGAAATTGAAACTGAATTGCTTGTACATTAAAAAATCTCAAAACTTAAAACTTTGGGAAATATTTAAAATGGTTATCTCAAAACCATGGTTGAGAAAATGTTAAGTGACAAGTATTACTCAATTAGTCATTTATTTTTCCTCTTCCCTAAAATGAAAAATTAGCTTGCAGAGCAACACAAACAGTAGGAAGTCATAAGAACAGAGAATATCTTTTAAATATTTTCTTTCCTATAAAACTTTCCCAGAAAGCCAAAAAGTAATAGAAGGTTCCGGGGCTTAATTAAATAAACTGGAGGTGGGGGGGAAGGACTTTCCAAATCACCAGTAGAAAACTAAATATGATGTTTAAAATCCTAGGAAATAGAATACAAAGCAGGAGAGAAATGTCACGGAGTCCAGTTACAATATCTATAATGCCAAACCTACAGAATAGGGGAAAACTTCTATATATAAAATTATACAGTTTTGTGTCTATTTGCTTAAAGATAGAAAGAGGTTAAAGATAAATATGGGTTTTACTCAGAGACTATATTCAACTTACTGGTGGATTTTAATTTGAACATTAAAAAGTAACAGTTTTAACCAGAGGACCCTGATCTAAACAATTCTTAATAATTCCTCACTCCAGAATGTCATTCGTAAGATTTCTTTTTGAGAGAATAAAAACAAATTTTCCCCCTTTGGAAATAACCAATATGTCTTTTTAAATGGAATTCTCCATTTGAATGGAAATGTTTGTCTCAATTACACAGAAAATTGTGAGACTAAGAGGTTTTTAAAGACTCTGGTCTTTTGCGAGAAATTTATACCCAAGTGCTTTCCTGAGGGAGTCCTTGAAACTCACACGGGGCTGCGATTCTCGGGAGAGACAAGACCAGAGTCTGTGCCGAAGTACTCCGAACCAGGTAAAACCAAGCAAGGGTGAATGAATCTTGAACATTTTATATAATTTCATGTCGATTTTCTTGACTTCAATTAAAATGAATAAGTTTGCCTTTACTGATATTAGAGGAATATGTGGCCTTTTACAAAATATATGTTCAGCAGAAGGTATAATCTTGACTTCTCTTCTGGCTATGGCTTAGTTTATAACAGATTTGATAGTTTTGCTTGACCTGAAAGAAAAGAGATTTTTTTTTATTACATTTAATTAGCTTGTGATAAAAAAACAAAATGAAACCAGTTTTTAAAATAATGGGCATGGAATATGTATATCCCAGTTGAAACCAGCCATTAGTTGAATCTTGCTTTATTGGTATATCCATTCAAATATTCTCCCCCATATATATATATATATATAGAGAGAGAGAGAGAGAGAGAGAGCCATGAGGTCACATTTCCCAAATAATCACTATTATTGCTCCTCGTTTGGCTACAGACCAGAGTAACTGAATAAATTGCTGAACCACTCAAGTTTTCATCACTTCATTGTAAAATAAAGGCTCATTTTAGAGGTGTTATCAAGACCTAACATCTTAACACAAAGAAAGAACTTAGAGGGGTTGTCGTAACACAGGGGACTTAGGAAGAAGGGCGATTTTTCTTCAGAGGAGAGAGGGAGGGAGAGAGGATGGTTGAGCAAGGCCCATGGGAGTGGTGCCGCTGGGATTCGAATTATCTAACCAATAATTCAGGTTAATCATCTCACTCCCGGAACATACTGATCTCACTTCCTGTAGTCTCCTTTCCCCCAATCCATTATATGAGAAAAGCCAGATTACTATCTCTTTCTTAATCCCTCTTCTCTTCTACCCTAAAGGCTTTTAATGATACCATAGTCCCCACAAAATGAAAATATGTGGCCACACAAAATTTTGTATGCACATTTCTTACCAGCATTATTTACAGTAGCCAAAAGATTGGAAATCCAAATGTTCCCTGACTAATAGGTGGATTAAATTTGTATCAATGCAAGCGGGGCGTGGTGGAGCAAGCCTGTAATCCCAGCATTTGGGAGGCTGAGGCAGGAGGATCACTGTGAGTTCGAGACCAGCCTGGGCTACATAGTGAGTTCCAGGTCAGTCTCAACTACATAGTGAGACCCTGTCTCAAAAAACCAAAGGGGGGAAAAAAAAGATTTGTATCAGTGCAATGGAATGTTACTGAGGAATGAAAGATTGATACAAGTTACAATGGAGGAACCTTAACACATTATACTAAGTGACAGAAGCCAACCACAAAAGGCAGCACATTTTATTGTCCCATTTTTGAAATTCTCAGAAGAGTCAAATTCATAGGAAACAAAAGTAGATCATTGCCAGGGCTTGGAGGAGAGAGGAATATAGTGTCTTTTAGTAGATACAGGGTTTCTTTTGGGGGTGGTAACATGAACTAAATTTAGATAATGGTGATAATTATATAACTTTGTGACTATACTGAGTCATAATGCTGAAAATTCTTTTTCAAATTCTGCCTCCCTCTCTCCCAGGAGAACAATCTCTGTTGAGAATCAGCAGTGAAAATCAAAGACAAAGTAATCATAGAAAATGTAATGACTGTGATGGTAATATCAAGATTGGTATTAGGTACCAAGACAAGACAAAAATTGGAACAGACGTTTCTGGACAGTAATGGATTTAGGTGTATAAAATGTTTTCCATGAGAAACCAAGAAACTTACGCTGGTTTGACAGTGGTCAGTTACCCGCCTCCAGTTCCAGCGTGCCTGTTTTCTTCTTGCCCCACCCTTCTTTCCCTACTCCGCTGCTGTTTTAAAGTTTGCCCTTCCCCAAATTTGGATTTTTATTACAGATCTAAAGCTCTTTCAATTTTATACTGATTAAATCAGTCCTGCAGTATTTGATTAAAAAAAAAAGATTGGTATTAGGCATTTCCTATAAAAGAATCTAGTTACTAGTTATGCCTCAGAATGAAGTGGGAGTTAGTGCTTTTAACAAAGTTGATGCCTACTTAAGGAAGACTGTTAAAGTCAGAGTATCTTCAATAACACTGAACCTAATCCTCACTTTTTCTGACATCAAACTACCTTCTACCCAATACTTACGGGATGTGGCCATTTTTGTGAAGATAGGGGTCACGATATCTTCCAAGTTTTGTCTCTGCTCAAAAAGCTCATTAATGGAAGCTTCTGGGTGAGTTTCCAACCACTCATTTTTTACACGGCATGCATTGAGGATGGTGTTCTAGCAAAAGAAACAGAGAATTTACTTTCCATTTATTTACTGAAACATAAACTCGACAGTATCTCCATCAAGCACCTTCTGTGGGCATGGAAATGTTCTGTATCTGCTCTGACCAGGGCAGTATCCATTAGATGTACTCAGCTATTGAACACTAGAGATGTGGCTACTGTGACTGAGAAACTCAACTTTAAATTTTAATTTTAAATGATTCAAACTTAAATAGCCATATGTGGCTATTTAACTGAACAGTACTGCTCTGACATTAGTGGAATGTAAGTTACTAAAACTCACCATCAAGATTCTAGAAACCAGGGCCAGGGATTTAGCTCAGTGGTTCCACTGCTTGCCTTGCAAGCGCAAGGACCCGAGTTCGATCCCCGGTACCAAAAAAAAAAAGATTCTAGAAACCAGGCCTGGGATTTAGCTCAGTGGTTCTGCCACCTGCCTCATAAGAGCAAGGACCCAGGTTCAATGCCCAGTACCAAAAAAAAAAAAGATTCTAGAAACCTTGCACAGGTTTACACTTTCTCCCTAATGCTTTATTTTCATTGAACTCTGTGACAAAAAAAAAAAAAAA